GTTCCCCAGCTATTCCTTCCTTCATTTTTCTTTTTTCTTTATGGAAAGGGAGGCCTTCCAACACGCCGCTTGCATGCATGTTGCCCCCCTCCCCCCCCCCAATAGCACAATTTTGATTCCCATAGATTTGGCCACTGCCGCTTAACGTTGATAAGCCGCTTTGCGAGATACCATGAATGAAGCCAGACAAGTGCGGCGATCAAAACACGACACCAGCAACGAGCAGCGTTATGGGGCGCAGGAGGAGGGAGAGTGGCCCAAGAAGGATTATCCCACCCAGCATCCCCTCAATATTAATGAAAAAATATAATCAACGTGTGCAACGCTCCACCTTCCTTCCTTTTTTTAAATTTTACTGTCTCTGCTACAATCCATCTGGGACATTGGGAAATAATCTGCGTGACCACCCACGTGGTTCCCAATCAAAGACTCAATCTTGTTGAGAAGACTTCATTATGTATGTCTTCAGGAACAGATACATTGCCAGTCATCACAATTGAAGCGAAATCCCGTGAGTGGTGGTGGTGGTGGAGGTGGAGGTGGAGGTGGTGGTGGGGAGTTACCACGGCTGAGGCTCCGATGTTGGAACGAGTTTACCTCTGCGGAAGAAAAATGGAAGAGTGGGGCTAACGAATGTTGACTGTTGTGGGCCTTGAAGATTGGAAACTCATAATACCAGCACACGTACACACACCCGGAAAAAGCAATTATCCGAATGTGGCACGAAAACAGCAAACTGATTCCAAAAGCATAGCACATTGGATGTGAAGGTGGAGTCATAATGAGGGAATTACGAGCATCTTCCTATTGACTCCCTCACGTTTTAAGGTAATTGACGTCTATAGCCTCCGGCAACTCCACTTGTCCCTCGCTTTCAGTGGCAAATGAGGGCTTCAAGGCGGCCGATAATTCCTGAAAAATGTTTCGGTCCCAACCATTGAGGACAGAATACATGGGAATAGCCACGGTAGGCCAGTCTTCAAACACGCATTGAGTCACCTTCAAAAAAGTCACGACGGTTCTATAGTCAATACTTCCGGTTCTATACTTTAATAGGTGTGCTTCGGCGTCACTAAGAAGGCAATTTACCCGTTCCACGGTGGCCTGAACTTCTGCGTAGGAGTTTCGCAGTGAATGCCGCTGTTCCTCACCCCTCGTCTCAACCTGTGCAGTAAGTTCTGCCTCCAATACATTCAGCTTTTCACGCAAGTGTTTAAACTGCTCTCGCACTTCCTCCTTTCGTTCCTTTTCACACCGGTCTATATCCTCTTCTGCGGAGCGGAAAAGATTAACAACAGAATCAATCTCCTTCGTGAAGGTCTGCGCATTTTGCACCCAACGCTCAAGTCGTGGGGCCTCCTTTCGAACTGCCTCAGCCACTAGTACACAATTGCTGCTGCTGTACCCGTCATAAAAGAGGCAATGACTGCATAACAGCCGTTTTTCCTCTGGGCACCAAAATTCGAACTCCTTCCCCGAATGTTTCCGACAAGTGGTCGCATCCGAGGCAGTGCCATCAGACGGTTTACGAGGCGTATTTGCAGCATTCAGTCCTCCTATTAGCTCCGCGGGTTTTGTTTGCCCTTCACCACAGAGCTTTTCCCCCCTCTGCAATTTAAACGACGTCATGTCTTGATGGTCCACTGCGGCTGCTGCGAGAGGGCAACTTGACTGACGGTTGCCGGGGGCATGGATTGTAACAATAAAACGCGGGACAATCTGGTCTGGGTTGAATATGACAACAGCATTACAAGGGGTAACCCGAATGCTATCATAGCCGTCACTATTAAGGGTGTTAAAACACTCCTTCATTGAAAAATGCTGCACCAGTCGAATTTCTTCTTCTCCAAGATGACGCGATTTGCCTATGGCCGTATCAAAGGCAACAAGAGACCAGCCTTGGTGCACCAATTCCACAGGTGTGTCTTCCTGAAATTGTGCCGCAGATCCGTCGTCGCGGTAGAGAACAATACCACAGGAGCAGAGACTGTCTCGGTTATCTGTGGCCTCCAATGGTCGGCCTTCCTTGATGCTGGCCAACGTGCTCGGACTACAGAGTTTCCACATGAGCGCCACCTCCCCAGTGGGGCCATGCATTGAAGCCAGCCGCCCACGGAAAGCCTGAGTTAGCCTGCGTGGAAGTGGGAGCTCCGTCACCGTCGCGGACGACAGTAGACCCCCATTTTTGCTCAAATTAGACAAGAATCTAGCGGCGCGAGACAGCACCGTACTTGTGGGATACATACTGAAGCTGCCTTGAAAGGCAGGCGTGCCCTCTGTTTGAGGAAAAGCTCGCCCCGCTGCACGGGACACACCTCCCGGCTGCATCGTCGCACTCGTTACTTCTCGGTGCATGTTGTGCCACTGCTTCTGAAGTTCCCCTACTTGCTGAGACGTGAAACCGCAAAACTCCTCAGCGACAAGCCGAAGCAAACTGTCATTGTCAACAAAATCCTCCAGGGTATATCCTGACGCCGCCAGGCGATCTACAAAGACGCGCCAAAGATCGCTCATGTGTACTGCCACGCAAGTCCGAGGACACGGCTCGCTCACGCCCTCCTCGCCCCCTTTTTTTTCTCTTCTACAACTCGCAAGCTCCCACGGTGCTCAAAATCCAAATATGGAAGTAATACTAGGCAAACCCAGAGGCAAACATTGATATCAAGTTGAGGCAATTCAAAGTGCGTTGACCACAGTGCGACACAAATCACAAGGAACAGAAAAAACTTGGGGATACAACGAGCAAATATATATATTAAGGAATATAAAACAAATACTCAAACACACATACAGACGAACACACACACACACACAGGGGCAGGGGGTACAAAGAAGGGGTAACCCTTGCGGCAACTTTAACTCAGCAGGCCGTGGAAGCCTGATAAGCATAAAATAATTATCATCTGAAAAAAAAAAGAAGCAACTCATGGCAAGAATAAAAAAAAACGACATCAAAACCAAATCAACACACACGGTTTACCCCTTCTCACCCACCCCAAATAAAAAGGAAGGAGGAAATACTCCAGCCTTTACAATGGGGTCAACTAGAATCGTTTCCCTCTCGCATTTTAGAAACCCGGCGTTTCATGCGTGCATACTTCACCTCCAACTCTTCCACTTGGCGCTTCAACTTTTCCTCCCTGGACTCCGTGTTACCTCTGCCATCGCCCATGGACAGAAAGGAAACTTTTTTTGCCTGACCACTAAACCCTCTCAGCGGGGCCCAACATAAACAATCATTGTCCTGGTCGCGAGGGCAAGTCTCTGAGGCAGACGCCTCTTGGGGCCGACGACTCAACGATACGGCAAGCAGGCTTCCCGACTCCAATGGAGGAATGAACGAATCAGCAGCGGCATTCTCAGTGACCGGGTTGAATTTTTTCACCACTTTAATAGTCCTCGTCGAACCTACTGACGGTGGAGGCAGATTTGCCATTCGTTTTTTTAACGATTCAAGGATACGGGTTACTCTGGCTTCCCGTGATTTTGCCATTTTCCAGGCAGCCGCCGCCTCTCGTACCCGCCCTTCCCACATTCTCTTCTCCCTCTTCAGTTTGTCAATTTCACTAGAAGCATTGAGACACTCGCCGTCGTTCTTAGCCTTCTCATTGGAGTAGGAGAAGTTTCTACTTACATCATTCCTTTTCACATTGCTGGATATCTCATGCAACTGAAGCTTCAAATTGGAAACCTCGCCTTGAAGAGTATGTATAGCTCGTTTGAGTCCCATGTATTCCCGTCGTCGCCTTGCCTCACCACAACCGTTCCCTTTCGCATTGGCAGCAGCAAGCGCAAAATATACATCCGCGTCATTGATTTTCTTCGCGGAGTTTTGTATATTCTCGCGAGCGGCCCGCAATCGCATTTTTAGGTCTGCGATAGCATGTGAAGTGGGCAAGGAACCAATTGCAGTCTGCAGCTCCTCTTCTCGTCTACTTCTCTCCTTAAGGAGCGTATTCAAGCGTGCCTGCATCGATTTTACCTTGCCCTCCTCACGCTGAACATTCGCAAGAAGCCGCCGAACATTCCGGTGCTTTCGAGCAGTTTCCGCAGAAATACTACTCAGGGGGGGAGTGACACTCGGTGGTCGTTTCGGTCTCGCGGCGTCCATTACTGCTTCTGAGTGAGGGCAATTAGGCAAAGGACTGCGATCTAACGCCTGCGACATCATGTGCACCGCAAAGTCGCAACTGCAACAAGAATTGCAACTAGGGGAAAGGACTCACCCACTGCTCCTCTCCGTGACTTCGGTAAGAGGCTTAGAGAATAAAAAGGAGGGACACGCAAAGAGGAGAGTCCTGGGACAGGTATATATGTAAATTTGCGTGATATACATCTATACATGTATACATATACATATATAAACAAATCATCCGAGTTTTTATATTCAAATGATTTAAAAAGTAAAAATAAATAAATAATTCCTACAAGTATGCTTCAGTTTTAATACCGCTTATTCTTTCCTTCTCTCTGCATTGCTCCCTGTGTCTTCCTCATTGAGTTCAGCCGAAATGCTTCGAACAGAAATCTTTCATCGCAGAAAGGTGCAGCGTCAGACAGGCACCCAGATGCCCACACAACGCCAACAGCCCCAACGGATTCGCTCGCGTATTATCAAAAAAAAGCAGCGGAGGGGGACAGTAGCTGATTGCCTACAACTGTCGCATCAAGACATCTTTGCAGTAATCCACCTCAAAGTCTTCCAAATCCTGCAAATTAAGCGTCAGCGTCCACAGTCCATGGGCTTTCACCTGTCTTCCCTCACTCACTGGTGCATTGGCTACGGTGAGAGGATCCATGCACTTCGTCACTGCCCATTTGCGCTCGAGCGCCATTTCCTCACGAATAGGCTCCTGCATAAGGTTTACTATGATTCTCCCAACAGGCACCACTTCCCACGTATGATCCGTCTGCTTACGCCTAATCTTAGAGACGCGTTTCAGGGAGTCTGCTTCCTGAACCGCCCACGCGGCTAAGTGAATGTGTCGCGGTCCTTCACAGGTCCCAATAACTATGTAGTCAAAATTGCCTGTCTTCGCCGAGACATCTACGGCGCAAATTTCACGTACCTTAAGTGAACGAAGGACTTCCACAAGCTCCATTACGTCCTCTATATGCGCTTTGCGTGCATCTTGCCACGCTTCATCAATAGCACCCTCAACTTCCATCTTAAGCAGCATTTCGGCAAAAAGTTCATCATCGTACGGGAGGGTTCCCGCATCCCCATCGCCCCCCTCTGTGAAATTGCTCTGCATGTCCGCGAGATCGATGGCATCCTGGCTTTCATCCTCATTTTTGCTGAGCTTATTAGAGACGCAAGGCATGTCATCCGCAGCTGCAATGCTGCGACTGTTAGGCCGCGGCTCTGCTCGACCAGCACGTGGGTGGGCGAGAGGGATGTTGAGCCGCGAGTACTCTTGCCCCTCAGGAATCTCAGGCGCCCGTACCACCCCGAGCGCAGGCTGCTGCTCCCACGACACCGCCGAAACCACATGCTCCGTCTCACTTTCGTCAAGGCCCAAATCGATGAAGTCACCAGCACCGTCGAGTAAGATGCGCGAAGAAGAGGGAGAAACCGCCGCCGCCGAAACTGTCTCTGCCGATGCCCATCTTACCCCTTTGACCGACGCTAGACTACGTTGGTGGGGCAACACGCTAAGCATGGCGTTTTTTCTCCATGGCAACACGTTACACCCAGAAAGACATGAACGCCTCGCTGACACCACCGTGATCGCGTCGTTCACGTGGCAAGAGATGATGGGAGTCCTACAACGCAACTGCATTAACGGGCTTTTGTGCGTAGCAGAAAATTGGAGCAAAAAGAATCGTTAAGAGGATGTTAGGGAAGATCCATAAAAAGAGTAATGCAAGGACACCACGGGCAAGCAGAAAGCAACGGCGTCGGTACGGTAAGGAAATTCAACCTTAAAGAGTAGCTGAGATGCGAAAGCCATCGCTGCTTACATCAAGTCAATACATTATTTCTTTTTGTTATTTCACAGTCGTGGCGTTAAATATATTTAGAAGCTTACATCACCACCCCACCAACTCTTTTCGTGCGTTACTCAACAGGACGTACGCGTAAAAAAAAAACTACCACATCAACGCACTCACTGCCTCACACCTCCAGTCAATCACAGACTACACGCCCCCACGTACATATGCACATGCATATATAAGAGATATCCTCTTTCCCCAACAGAAGAGAGAAATAAAACAGTGCAGTAAACAAGACAAGGGCCTCCCCCGCTGGCTCGACGCAGGGGGATGCTACTTCCTGCGCTTTGTATTTCATCCCTCGTATATTCCGTTATAAACAAAAAAAATACCACCACAACAGAGGAACAATGACCAATGCGAACCTATGCGTCCGTGAAGTGGCCGCAACTAA